CATCCTTAGATATCAGAGAAATTCAAACCAAAACAACTCTGAGATTCCATCTTACACCTGTCAGAATGGCCAAGATCAAAAACACTGATGACAACTTATGCTAGAAAGGATGTGTGGTAAATGGATTTTTACCTTTACCATTACATTTAGCATTGCTGGTGGGAGTGCAAACTGGTACAGTCACTCTGGATGTCAGTATGGCGATTTCTCAGGAATTTAGGAACCTTCCTCAAGACCCAGCAATACCACTTTTGGGTATAAACCCAAAGGATGTTCAATTGTACCACAAGGACTTGTGCTCACCTATCTCCATAGCAGCATTGTTTGCTATAGCCTAAAAACAACCTAAATGCACCTCAACTGAAGAATGGATAAGGAAAATGTGGTACATTTACATAATGATGTACTAAAAAGCAGAAAAAACAATAACGACATCTTGAAATTTGCAGGGAAGTGGATGGATCTAGAAAACATCATATTGAGTGAGGTAACCCAGACCCAGAAAGACAATTATCATGTGTTCTCACTCATAAATGACTTTTAGACATAAAGCAAAGAAAACCAGCCTACAATTCATAAACCCAGAGAACCTAGACAACAATGAGGACCCTAAGAGAGACATACATGGATCTAATCTACATGGGAAGTAGAAAAAGACAAGATCTCTGGGAGCATGGGGGACCATAGGAGAGGGTTGAAGGCGAGGGGAGAGGAAAGGCGGAGAGCAGAGAAAAATGTATAGCCCAATAAAATCAATTAAAAAAAAAAGAAAGGCAAAGTGGGTGCGTACTAAAAATACATGTCTTGTACAACAGTTAGTACAAAGAGGTTTATTGGGGGAGGGAAAGAGTGAAAGACCATGAGTTGTGGGAACTCCTTTTGCCAATAACCTTTAAGATTCCCATCCACTTTAGTGTGGTCTCATGTACTATAAGGGTAGATGAAAAGCCTGCATGGCTCCCTTTTCTGCTGGGTTTGTTTCCATTTTCCAGCACACACAGAGGACTGTGACTCACTACCCTTACTGTGATTTTTAAACTCCAAATAAATAAAATTTCGTTATACTCCATTCTGGCCTATTGTGGAACTCTTTGATACAACTATAGCCATGTCGGAGTGGGAACATGAATAACACAGGCAGACAAACAGAGAGATGACAGAGAGAACAGGGAAGACACAAGAGGAGGGCTGGAGAGATGGCTCAGTGGTTAAGAGCACTGACTGCTCTTCCAAAGGTCCTGAGTTCAATTCCCAGCAACCACATGGTGGCTCACAGCCATCTGGTGCCCTCTTCTGGCCAGCAAGCAGACAGACAGGACACTGTATACATAATAAATAAATAAATTAAAAAAAAGACACAAGAGGAAGAAGAGAGACAAGAGAGGAGCAAGAGATGAGAGAGCCAGCTGTGCCTGGTGGGCACTTTTAAGGAGTGCACATGTCACGTAGCTGACAGTGGAAAGGCACCTGGAGACAAGTGATGATGTACTTGGGAGTGGCAGGTGGGAGAGGCAGGCTGCTGCCCAGGTGAAACTAACAGTCCTGTAGAGTCATGTGTTTGAATGCTTCTCCTAAAGGGAGTGGTACTGTTAGGAGGTGTGTTCTTGTTGGAGTGGTGGCCTTGTTGGGCAAAGTGTGTTATTGTGTGGATGAACTTTGAGGTCTCTTATGCTCAAGCTACACCCAGCGTGGAACAGTTTACTTCCTGTTGCCTGTGAATCAAGATGTAGAACTCTCAGCTCCTTCTCCAGCACCATGTCTCCCTGCATGCCACCATGGCCCACCATGATGATAATGGACTAAACCTCTAACACTATAAGCCAGTCGAAATTAAATCTTTTCCTGGACAAGAGTGGGTGTGATCATGATGTCTCTTCTGGGCAATAGAAACACTGACCGAGTACTCAAGTCCTGTACTAGTGGGGACAGAAGATAAACTGTTTGGAGAGCTACATTCTGTTTCTAGGATGACAGATTCCTAGGGCATTTGCTTCCATGATGGCGGTGATACAGTAAAGAGAACAAACAGCCCAGAGTAGTGAGTGAGCTTGGATTCCAACTGCATGCTGGGACATCACCTTTAACAGGAGCCAAAGCCCTTCAATCAAGCCAGAAAGAAACTAGAAGCCACCCAGGGAGTGTGCCAATAGTTTTGGTGACTTAGAGGGGAGAACTTTGCGTGGCATTGCTTCTTTTCTTTCACTGTATGAGGCCCTGGACTTTTAAACTTAGACTTCCGCAATTTTATGCACACATCCAAAGTACTTTGCTCATATTCCTCCCCAGTATTTCTCCTATCCACCTCCACTTCCCACTGAACTCCGTCTCTACATGCCCTCTCCTCACTTAAGAGCATTCTATATATGTGTTCCTGCAGCATTAGTTAGCGTTGCTTGTATTAAGTGGGTGGATGATTCTCATTTGAGCAAGGGCAATTACCAGAGGCTACACCATTGAGGAATCCAACTCCTCTGCTCCCCTGGCCTCCCCTCAGCAACCATTAACTGCTGACAGTTACTCTGGAAGGGATGGGGCCTCATACACTATTTTTTCACCCAGAATGCAATGCTAATGAACCCAGTCTTGAGCAGGAAGCCACTGCTGCTGTGAATTTATGGGTCCAACACCATGTTGTGTCCAGAAGATATCATTTTATAGGACCCCTTCCCATTCTTTCTATAATACCTACACTTCAAATGCTTTGAGAAAACAAAATATTTCATTTTCAATACAACATGGTCTGGTGTCAGACTTCAATATTGTTATTAATTGATTGATATATTAAGTGCCTTGGATATGCTTAAAATAAGGATACTATAGAAGAGGAAGTCTCTCAAAGAGATGCCATAAACAGTTTGTTCAAGGATGGAGTGATAAACTGTGTGTATCTGCAACAGGGTAACACGTTTCCTTCTTAAACATAAAACCTGTCTAGTTGTTCCCACACAACAGTCTGCACAGGCTGTGGTGTCCGTGCTGTCGTGTGCAGTGAAGGTCAAAGACAGGAGTGAGGGAGAAAGAGATGGTCACAGCATTTGTTCAGACCTAGCCAGCTTTATTCTGGTAGACTGACGGAAAATTGCTAAGAAAGTGTTTCCTAAGAATTCATGTAGGATGCATGGGCTTCCAGAGGAGCCAGGTTCCATTCTGAACTCATCACAGATCACACTCATCTGTACCTCAAGTCCCAGGGGATCTGGTGCCCACTTCTGGCTTTTGAGGGCACTGATGTATGTGGTCCACATGAGTGGAAGCAAAGCATCCATTCACATAAAATAAAATGGGAAGAAAAAAACAAAAACAAAGCACTGTAGCTTTTGGAGCTGAAAATAAAGAATTTAAAAATGAACTGTGATGCTTCTAATGCACTTTATTTATTTTTATTATTTATTTTTTATTATTAAAAATTTCCACTTCCTCCTATTTCCCTCCCCCTCTGCCTCCCCCTTTCTCTCCAGTCCAAAGAGCAGTCAGAGTTCCCTGCCCTGTGGGAAGTCCAAGGTCCTTCCCCCTCCATCCAGGACTAGGAAGGTGAGCATCCAAACAGACTAGGCTCCCACAAAGCCAGTTCATGAAGTAGAATCAGAACCCAGTGTCATTGTCCTTGACTTCTCAGTCAGCCCTCATTGTCCGCCATGTTCAGTGAGTCTGGTTTGATCACATGCTCCATCACTCCCAGTCCAGCTGACCTTGGTGAGCTCCCAATAGATCAGTCCCACCATCTCAGTGTGTGAATGCACCGTCTTGACTTCCTTGCTCATGTTCTCCCTCCTTCTGCTCCTCATTTGGACCTTGGGAGCTCAGTCCAGTGCTCCAATGTGGGTCTCTGTTTCTATCTCCATCCATCGCCAATACCACTCTTGGGAATATACCCAAGAGATACCCTATCATGCTACAAAAGCATTTGTTCAACTATGTTCATAGCAGCATTATTTGTAATAGCCAGAACCTGGAAACAACCTAAATGCCCCTCAACTGAAGAATGGATACTCAGCGGTAAAAAACAATGACATTTTGAATTTTGCATGCAAATGGATGGAAATAGAAAACACTATCCTGAGTGAGGTAACCCAGACCCAAAAAGATGAATATGGTATGTACTCACTCATAAGTGGATTCTAGCCATAAATAAAGGACATTGAGCCTATAATTCGTGATCCTAGAGAAGCTAAGTAAGAAGGTGAACCCAAAGAAAAACATATAGTTATCCCCCCTGAATATTGGAAGTAGACAAGATTGCCAGGCAAAAATTGGGAGCTTGGGGGTGGGGGTGGGGTAGGGATAAAGGGAGATGGGGAGAGAGAAGGGAGAAGGGGAAGATTGGGGAGAACTTGGGGGAATGGGACTGTTGGGATGGAAAAAGGGTGGATATGGGAGCAGGGAAGTATATATCTTAATTAAGGGAGCCATTTTCGGGTTGGCAAGAGACTTGATTCTAGAGGGGTTCCCAGGTGTCCAAGGAGATGTCTCCAGCTTGTTTCTTGGGCAGCTGAGGAGAGGGCGCCTGAACTGGCCTTACCCTATAGCCACACTGATGAATATCTTGCATATCACCATAGAACCTTCATCTAATGCACTTTAAAATGTTTTAGAAAATCGTTATAGATACAGAGAGTGAGAGGAACAAATAGAAAGGAAGTGAAAGCAGCAAATGCTAGAACAACACACAGGGAATGGCTGTCACTGTAGCAATGTCTTCATGTCTGCACGACTGGAGGATGTCGTCATGTGGGAACAGCTGTGTCAAGGGTCTATTAGGGACAAGGGAGATTGATCAGTTTGCTTTTGAATATTATCATAGAAGTATTCATCTGGTTGTGTGTAGATGAGGGTATTGGGATAGGGTGTGTGTTGGTGACGATACTGCTTGTATGTAGGGGATGATGTAGGTGCTGGTTAAGGTTAGGTGAGGGTGTAGGCCTTATTATGAGTGCCATGTGAATTTTCCCAATACATAAAAATTTCCCAAGAGACAGCATATGAGAGCATACAAAGACAAGTTGTGCACTGAAATCATTTAATGGTGTTGTAGTTTTTTTTTACAATGTGCTGAGATTTGCTGATACAAGCTTACCTGACTCAGAGTTAGTTGATATTTGGTAATCTTTTCTTAATGTGTCATGATCAACAAAAGGCATGGGATCATTCCCTCCAGGGTTTAAACAGACTGACACATGAGTAAAGAATTTACTTTTTAAATAGTATAAATGGGCCAAATCTAAGAAAAATGTTTTGAAAGGTCATATATTTCATTACAGTAAGTTTCCCAGTTGAGGAGTCTGATTTCTACCCAGTCAGAATTCTACTCCCTTAAAAAAACCAACCTTGACCCATACAGTAGAAGTTCTAACTGACAGGATGCTGAGCCCATACACAAGGCCTGGAAGCTCACACAGCTGCCATTTTACCAAGATCAACTGCTGCCTGAAATATTTCTTGTGTGTGTATCCACCAGGGGGGAGATGAATGAAGATTAATTCTGATGAAACGTAATGTGAATGACTTTATAGTGAAGAACTGATGTATACAGATGTGTGTGACGATCCAGGTGTTAGATTACTGTCACCAGCATCTGAGGCATTGACTTACTGAAAAATAGAGGCTTTGCGTAAAAGAGTGAATACGTTAGTCAGCATTAAGCCTCATGGGAAACAGTCTCTATTTTGCTGATGTTTCTGTTGAAAGCCTGCTTGTTTGAAGGGGAAACACAGGAAGCGTCACCTTTCCCATGACTACTTCTAGAGCGAGGAAGAGACAGATGAGCTGAAGTGGTGGTGCACAGCAGTTAGACTCCACAGTTCCTAAGATACTGCCTGAGATCTCGGTTTTCACAGCGGTCTTCCCATGCCCTCCTGTGGAGAAAAATGAGATGGGGAAGAAATGTTTAAATTCCTCTGTCATACACAAACTCAAGCCTTGCAGTGGGAGAGAGCAATAGTGATATCAGTAACCCTAATGGATATTGTGTTCTGGGTCAAGATTTTGTGTGAAACATGGGACATAGCTGGACCCAGGAAGTGCTACTGACTGGTGGAGTTGTGTCTCCATGGCAGTTTGATCCTCTCCAAACCCTGAGAAGAACATAGGATGCTCACTGTCAATGTGACATAACTGATTCTACAAATCAGGAGGCCTGACAAGGAAGTAGTTATGTGTGGGATTCTCAAATCTGGAGAAATTCCCTAGAACTAAATTCCTAAAACTAATGATGTAGAGAAAGGCCCCAGTGGTCAGTATGACACTTGGGCCTCAGAGAGAGTCACTGCATAGATCAACAGAACCAAGAGTTTCCCCTTCCAAAGTTCCCACCTACCAAGCTCTAATGCCTTGTGGATCCCTCACAACCCTCTTTGCACATTTGATGGCTTCAGTGATGTCATCCTGGAGCAAAACTGAAAGACAGGAGTGGAGAATGACAAGGACGGTTAGAGAACCCATTTAGTTCCGATCCAGGCAGCTTTCTTCTGTGACACTGAGCAGTGAATATAAGAAATTTCTTCACAACTGTCCATTCATCTCTGATTATTGCAGAGAGTCTCTCTTGTTTCCATCCACTCGACATGGTATAAGTCATTTTATTTCTCATTTCTCAAGACCCTGGGTGATGGAATAGACTTGAGAGTAGAGTGTTCTTAGGATTCCAGCACTGATAAAAAGTAGAGAACACATTGAAGTAATAAGGAGTCCCTGGAGGCTGTGTGATTGTCAGCTACCATGAGGGAAGTTCCTCTTCCTTCTCACACTGGAAATTAGAACATGCTAATAACTGTCGCCTGGGTCTACCATTGGAAAATTCATCCTAACAAAATATATACCGCACAGATGGCTCAGTGGCTAAGATCATTGGATGGTCTTCCAGATGACTTAATTCCCAGAACCCACATGGTGGCTCTTTAGTGTCTGCAATACCTGCTCCATGAGATGTAAACCCTCTTCTGGCTTCCACAGGTACCAGACACACAAGCGGTGCACAATCCTATATGCAGACAAAGCACCCACACACATAAAGATAAATGAATACTTTAAGAATGAAAATGCACAAGCCTCGGGTGAATAAAGTTCTTCCTAGTAATTTATACCAGTAAAATAAACAGAGACAGGTGCTCTATCACTCAAGACCTGAGACTGCAGAAATAACTCAGGCTGAAGAGCACTGGGTGAGCCCCAGAATCTTGAGTTCAATTCCCAGCAACCATATAGAGACTCATAACCATCTATAATAAGATCCTCGGACCTCTTCTGGCATTCAGGTAGAACATTGTAACCATAATAAATAAACAATTTTTTTAAAAAAACTTTCTGTACTTAAGTGTGGTGTTTTCAACATAGAGAATATTGCTACTGCAACTTTATTCATTCTTTAAATAAGAATTCAGGTGAATATTTGTTACTATGAACATAGTTTTGAGTAATAACCATCTCTCAAAGCTATGCAAGTATAATTTATGTAAAAATAGGAAATCTTTACATGTTTCTATGTGAGTATATATGTACATTATATATCTCTGCATGAATCTACAGAACAGATGTTTAGTCTTGAAGAGTATTTTCCAGAGCTTTCCAGGTAGATGAACTCTCTAAGCAGTCAAACCGGGCGTGATTTTCCTATATCCCCATGGATTCTAATCCCTTTCAATGACTGTAGATGAGTCTACAAAATGCTTTTGCAGATAGGCTAAGTAGATGACAAAAATATTCCATCATCTGTTTCTCTTGAAAATTTTAACAACCAAATTTAGCAGAGTAGGAATTAATAGTTCATTGTTTAGTGCTTGGCTAAATTGTACCAAATCTTGGGTTCACTTTCCACACTGGAAAAATAGAACGACATTGACTGATTAAATTCATACACAGAAATTGCGTGTTACTTTGATCATTGTATGAATTCAAGCCTCCATCCTGATATGAACCCTGTGCGCTCCGTTTCTTGTTGAAAACAAGTTTCTTCTTAAATACATAAATCTATGTTATTTTGTTCGATGAGATAATGTCCATCTAGGAGTTAATTGTTTGGATATGCTAACTAAAGCATTTTAAAACTAAATTTGATATTAGTAATTCACTCTAAGATCTCTCAACACGAAGAGCACATCAATACATACACAAAGAAGCCAGTTGGACAAAATTCCAGATACTTAGTGGTATCCTGTATGTAGTCATTATTATAGTAATGTCTTCATTTGTATATATTAGAAATTTTCATAATAAAATTCATTCAGTAATAAATGACCCTATGACAATATCTATGACTACCCCTTTATGAACAGATAAAATGGAAATCATCAGGAGAAAACACTAAGAAGACCACTTACAATTAATTAGTACATATTCCAGAAACTTTTGTTTATTATAAAATAACAACTTGTTACCAATGTTTATTTTTTGCCAATTTTGATCACGTCTCTGTATATGTGAGTATAGGCTTAAAAAAACCACCAAGTTTTAATGATACCAGCTCTTTATTTTTTAATTTTCTACTAATTAACATGTGGCTGTGTAATGTGGTATGTGTACCAGTGAACATGCACATGTGTGTCTATGTGTATGTAGAAGTCAGAGGACATATACAGTAACTGTTGCTTAGAAGCAGTCCACATGGTTTCTGAAACAGGGTCTTGCCATTGGAACTGGCTTACAGATTAGGCTATGCTGGTTGGTCAGTGAGCCCCATGGATCTGCCTGTCTCAGACTTCCCAATGCTGGTCTTACAAATGCATGCCACCAAACTCAGCTTTTATGTGGGTGCTGAGGGTCACACCTTGGCTTGGGGGGACTCTTCTGTCTCAGCTGTCTTCCCAGCATCTGTTTATATTGATTATTGATTCAGTGATTTTGGAGGTGGAACCAAGGGCCCTCTGACTGGTCACCAAGCCATGTCCTAAGCCTGATGTCTTTCCTAGCTAATTTTGATGTGAATAACAGTGACTTTCTAACAGCCAGTGGTGTGGTCCACAGGATTATATGGTGAGAATTCAGTTGACAAAAATCACTCTGCTACCTGATGGGGGTCACACATTCCAGGGAAGGAAACCCAGTTTGCAGAGCTTTGGGGATACCTGCCTTATGAAGAGTTGCTGTCATTTCTGTAAAAATCTTGTGAAGCCATAGTACTTCCTTTTCCATAGTGAGACTCATCCTAAAAAACCCTAGGAGTGTATTAATTATTGGGCACAACTCTCTCATGTACTGTTATACTGGATGACTTTTCATTTTGCTTTATCATCTTGATAAATAGAATATATACAAAAGGCCACAGAGAAAAGAAATTCTTCTCACTCAGTGATCAGCAGTACCAAAACCACTGCTTGACCCAGAGGCTGAAATTGCTAGACTTTGGATTTCATACTACGTAGCCATTGCTTTTCCCCTCGATCTAAGGTACAGTAGCTGTAATCTCTTGGCCTGAGGGATTCCCTTTAATCAGAAAACATTTGATGAAAATGCTATAGTGAACCCATTTGTGCTACCCGTTTTCCTTCCACAGCTTATGCCAGCTGCCAAGGCTATCATGATGCTGCGTTCCCAGTCACATAAGAAGCGGAAGACAGTGCTCAGAGTGCACAGCCCTGCAGCGTTTTGTTCCTCTTTTCTCTACATTATCAATTACAAGCTTCTAGCTTAACTAACCACACAGATGTAGTTAACACACCAACTCTCTCCCCCCCTCCACTTAGAAATCACAACCCCTTTCAGATATGTCCAGGCATTTCACAGGCACGCCCCCTCTGAGACATAAGTAAGTAAGATAACAGACTCCCACTTTTTCAGCTTTATCTGTCTTCTTGACCCTGAAAAATGCAAGCTATTTGCTATCCTTGCTATTGCCAGAGAATTGCTAATTGTATCTGTGTGAGCCTATAAACTGGAAACCTTGTGGGAGGGAGACAGAACTTTGAAAGAATAAAGAGACTTGATGAGAAGAAGACATGTATGAGTTGGTTCATTGCTTTTATCCTCAGATCCCTTTAACCAGTTCCTGCTTGCTGTAAGCTTCTGAACTCTGAGGGAGCATTAAGACAGGCACTCAGAGGACTCCATTAAGTCAAGACAATCTCCCCAGGTTCCTGATGGTTTCCTCAGTGTGTCTCCTGCACAGCATCCCTGTTCTTGAACATAAGAACAGCTTGGTTGTTTGCTATCCCTTGAAACCCTTGTCTTACCATTGCAAGATATCCGACAGCCATTCACTGCTCTGGGGGTTCTGCCATCATTGCACCAGTATCGGCTATTGATCTGAAATATCCCATAGTCGGTGCCTCGTCTTTTAGAGTTGAAGTTTGTAGCTCGGGTGTTAAAGCTACTCTCATGCTGAGCCAAGCACACCCCTAAAAAGAAAAAGAATATTCATCAATAAGCAGCAAGAGCAAATGATTCATAATGGATATCAAAATGAGCTCCTTGAGCTGGCTGTATTTCACAAGTGATTTACTTTATAAGTACTACTGTATTATTAAATTACTAAATATTATACAAGTTCAGGCCAGGTTTGGCTGTGCCCCTCAGGGTAGTCCCTGGTCTCAAGTAATCCTCTTGCCTATGCCTTTCAAGAACATGGAACCGCTGTACCTAGTAGCAAGTGAAAATTTTCAGGAGCCCCCCAAAAGAATCTCTTTGAGGACAGATCAATTTGCACCGAGAATAAACAGGATAATGCCTTTTAAATACTCAAGAAGATGAACCGGTCACAGTGGTGCTCACTTTTATTCCCGGCAGTGTGGGTCAGAGGCTGATGAATCTGTGTGGGATTGAGATTAGCCTGGTCTACATACCAAATGCCAGGTCAGTCACTGCCATATAGTGAAACTGTATCCCCTGTCCCCAAATATAATAGCTATTTCTTTCATCTCTTTTCCCTCCCCATCTATCCTTGAGACACTGTTGTCTAAAACAGAAACACAAACAGGAGTTAGGTGGATTTTATAAATTAGTATCAAAAACATATGATAATAGAAAATGTTCCTGTTAGAAAAATGAGGATTTCCTCAGAGAGATGTTCTTAGACCTAAAGTGAATTTGTGTGTTAGAAATCTTTTTTCTTTCATGTTTCTATGATTTCTACTTTGGCACAGAACATGAAATTTCATGCCTTAGCATCCCATTGCTTGGATTCCAGGAGTGTGCACCATTACAAATGGCTGGTGAGAATACTGAAAGCAAGAACATTAGAGCAGGAAAGGCTATTCTGCAATTCAGTCCATCCATTCATCCGACCATCCATCCATCCATCCATCCATCTGATCATCCATGCATCCACACACATCTGTTTACTTGTTCATGGACAATTAGTTATTGCATAATAACTGCCTTAATCTAATCTGAAAAACAGACTAGTTACAATGACATCGATACAAGAAGCCATGAACAACTTTTTGTCATCCACATCTTCCATTGTGCAGAATGAAAAGCCATCCCAGAGTGAAGAAGCACACCAATTTTATTCTGAGTTTCAGAAGACCTCATTTAAGCAACAATGAAGGGGAGATAGGATCTCTCTGCCCTGTATAGGAAGTTCTAAAATTTGATTTTTTTTTTCTCTCCAAAGATCAATGCCATGGCAAGAAAAAAATGAAGACAGATACCAATCAATCCAGGCTCTCAGAACTTAAGTTCTGAATGAGCGAATCCTCCCATCTTTCCTCAGCCCCCTGTAGACTACCGAGTCTGAAGCGACTGAAAAACCCAGTAACACTCTAAGAGTACCTCGGGTCCTATTGCCTTAGCCTGGCATAGACGTCTCTTCCCATGCCTTCATCCCAGTATCTCTGATCAAAAAGAAAAACGCTGATGTTTTTAATCAAACCAAGTCACAGACACAGGGATCCCAAATGCTTATTGACTCCAGATCCTTCTCTGATCCCTCGCTGGATCCTTAAACCTGATCTTCAGGGGGTGCTTATCTGGAGGGGTCAAGAAAAGGAGACTTAGCCCGAATCCCGTCCCAGCCTTTATCCAGGTACACCTTCCTCTCTTCCCCCCCTCCCCTCTGGAGCCACAAGATCTCCCCAGAGTTGCTCCCTTGCACGCTGGGCCTGGGCTGTGGACTCAGTCGGGCAGGGGCAGTTCCGGTGCTTTGAGAGCCTGCCTGAGGACAGGCAAGCCCTGTCTCAGCTCAATCACATTCCTGGCCAGCAAGAGAGAGTGAACTTCTAGCAGACTTCCATTGGAGGAGGGATAAGTTTTCTCCTGGCCCAAGGGCTTCGGCTAGGAGGAATTCAGTCTTTCCCCGCCTCCCTTGACTTTCTGGTCACCCTGCAGTGGCGGCTCCTCCCTGCAGAGCTCTCCTGTCCTAGCCTTTATTCAGGCACACCTTCCTCTCTTCCCCCCTTCCCTCTGGGGCCACAAGATCTCCCCAGAGAAACTCCCTTGCTCGCTGGGCCTGGGTTGTGAGTACAACCCACTAGTAGGGAGTGCCCATGTTTCAATAGACTGCCTGAGGAAAGGTAGGCCTTCTGTCAGTGAAGTCCCTGCCCAACAAGGGAACCTGACCTGGTACTAGAAGATCCAGTAGAGAGCATTTGAAGGAAGAGATGGGCAGACGCCAAGGCAAGAACTCCTCCAACAATCTAAAAAACAACATGAAAACACCAGAACCCAACGACCCTACAATAGAAGGACTTGAACCTCTTAATTCAGAAGAAGCGGGAAAAAATGCCATTATGAAAGCAATAGAGTCCCTTAAACAGGATATGAATAACTCCCTTAAAGAACTGGATGAGAAGTATAACAAAAAGATTGAAGAAATGAGTAAAGAAATGGATGAAAAATATAAAAAAAAATCAAAGAAATGAGTAAATCCATGAATGATATATTGGGAAACCAAGAAAAAACAATCAAACAGGTAATGGAAACAGTTCAAGAATTGAAAACTGAAATGGAGGCAATGAAGAAAACACAAAACGAGGGCCGGCTGGATATGGAAAATCTAGGTAAACGAACAGAGACTACAGAATCAAGCATAACCAATAGGATACAAGAGATGAAAGAACGAATCTCAGAGTCTGAAGATACCATAGAGAAAATAAATGCTCTGATCAAAGAAAACAGCAAATCCAATAAATTCTCATCACAAAACATTCAAGAAATCTGGGACACAATAAAAAAACCAAATCTAAGAATAATAGGGATTGAAGAAGGAGAAGAACTGCAGATCAAAGGACCAGAAAATATATTCAACAAAATTATAAAAGAAAACTTTCCCAACATAAAGAATGATATTCCTATGAAGGTTCAAGAAGCATACAGAACACCGAATAGGCTTGATCAAAAAAAAACATCCCCTCGCCATATAATAATCAAAACACAAAATACAGATTAAAGAAAGAATATTAAGAGCTGCAAAGGAAAAAGGGCAAGTAACTTATAAAGGTAAACCTATCAGACTTACACCGAACTTCTCTATGGAAACCATGAAAGCCAGAAGGTCCTGGATAGAGGTACTGCAGAAACTAAGAGACCATGGATGCAAGCCCAGACTAATATACCCAGCCAAGCTATCATTCACTATCAATGGAGAAAACAAAATATTCCAGGATAAAAACAAATTTAAACAATTCGCAGCCACAAACCCAGCCTTACAGAAAGTAATAGAAGGAAAATTGCAACCCAAGGAATCCAACATTGCCAGCACTGCTTACAATAACTCAGACATCTAGCGACCCTTCACGAGCTTAACTCAAAGAAGGGACACATACAAACTCTATTAATCAAACAAGCAAAAAATAATAATAACCGGAGTCAACAACCACTGGTCATTAATATCACTTAATATTAATGGACTCAATTCACCTATAAAAAGGCACAGACTAAGAGACTGGATACGAAAACAGGATCCAACATTCTGCTGTTTACAAGAAACACACCTCAACCACAAAGACAGACATTTACTCAGAGTAAAGGGTTGGGAAAAGGTTTTTCAAGCAAACGGACTTAAGAAACAAGCAGGCGTGGCCATTCTAATCTCCAACAAAATTGACTTCAAACTAAAATCAATCAGAAGAGATGGAGATGGACATTTTATACTCATAACAGGAACAATTCATCAGGAGGAAGTCTCAATCCTGAATATCTACGCCCCTAATATAAAACCTCCTACTTATGTAAAAGAAACACTTCTAGAACTCAAGGCAGTCATCAAACCACAGACACTAATAGTAGAAGACTTCAACACTCCTCTCTTATCAATGGATAGGTCAATCAGACAGAAACCTAACAGAGAAATAAGACAATTATTGGAGGTATTGAATCAAATGGACTTAACAGACATCTATAGAACATTCCACCCAAATAGGAAAGAATATACCTTCTTCTCTGCAGCTCATGGAACCTTCTCGAAAATTGACCACATACTCACTAACAAAGCAAACTTCCACTGATACAAAAAAATATTAGTAACCACCTGTGTCTTGTCAGACCACCATGGATTAAAGTGAGAATTCAAGAGCAGTGCTACCCCCAGGAAGCCAACAAATTCATGGAAGTTGAACAGTCAACTACTGAATCATCCCTGAGTCAAGGAAGAAATAAAGAAAGAAATTAAAATCTTCCTTGAATTTAATGAAAATAAAGACACAACATGCTCAAACCTATGGGACACTATGAAAGCAGTGCTAAGAGGAAAGTTCATAGCACTAAGTGCCCAATTAAAGAAAACGGAGAAAGCACACATTGGAGACTTAACAGCACACTTGAAAGCTCTCGAAAAAAAAAGAAGCTGATTCACCCAGGAGGTCTAGAAGACTGGAAATAATCAAACTGAGGACTGAAATCAACAAAATAGAAACAGAGAAAACAATCCAAAGAATCAATGAAACAAAAAGCTGGTTCTTGGAGAAAATCAACAAGATCGACAAGCCCATATCCAAATTAATGAAACGGCAGAGAGAGAACATGCAAATTAATAAGATCAGAAATGAAAAGGGGGACATAACCACAGACACAGAGGAAATTCAGAGAATCATTAGATCTTACTACGAAAATTTATATGCCACAAAGTTGGAAAATGTAAAAGAAATGGACATTTTTTTAGATAAGTACCATATACCAAAGTTGAACCAAGAACAGGTGAACAATCTAAATAGACCTGTCAGTCGTGAAGAATTAGAAGCTGTTATTAAAAATCTCCCTACCAAAAAAAGCCCAGGACCAGATGGTTTCAATGCATAATTCTACCGGAACTTCCAGGAAGAGCTAATACCTATACTCCTTAATGTATTTCACAATATAGAAACAGAAGAATCATTGCCAAACTCTTTTTATGAAGCTACAGTTACCCTGATACCAAAACCACACAAAGACACAACCAAAAAAGAGAATTACAGACCAATATCACTCATGAACAT